TAACACGATTATTAAAACTTTAATATATGTATTTTTTTTTATAATTTTTATTAAGTTAAAAAATTTAAGTAAGTATGTTATCTACGTTGACAAGAAATGATTATTGTTGAGGGCTATTCAAGTCAAGATAGGTTACAGAGGAGATAAAAACCTTATTTTTGACATATTTACAATACGTGATTTATAACGTTCTTGTATAAAAATATTACCCCCACCATCCCCTAGAGGGAGATTGAGGGGGTAGCATCCCCAGTAAATTAAGTTAGGTCTTTTTAAATAAAAGAGTTGGAATCTACGACTTTTACCATATACATAGACCCTCCCAAATTTATATTTTTTTAGGGCAAAAACTTGTTTTTCTGTGACGAGAAAAAAGTTTGACATTATATCTCTCTTGTCAGGTAACAAAATGTCACTTTTTATGAAATTACTTTTTTCCATGTTTCCTGGGAGAAAAGTGTTTCCCCGGGAAGTAAAAGTAGATATTTTTTTCTACATTAAATCCTTGTTTTTCCCATCACAGAAAATAAATGGTTTATTATGCACGGGAAAAATATTAGATTTTAGCTAATATTTTTTTCCCTTGTATAATAAATAAATATTTCTTGTCTTTGGACTTTTTTGACCTGAACTAATATAGTTTGAATGTGGGGATACGCATTTAAAAATCGTCATAGAGGAGATAAAACTATTATTTTTGGTACATTTGTAATAGACATAATTTTCAACTATTTTTTATAAAAATTTACCCCTACCATTTTGACCAAATTTTGGAATTTTGTATGTGTATGTAGAAAATCTAGATTCAAACTGTTTTATTTAAAAAGTTTTAACCTAATATTTTGGGAATTACACCCCCATTCTCCCTCTATGGGATGGTAGGGGTAAGATTTTTATACAAAAGCGTTATAAATCTGGTTTATTGAAAAATTTTAAAACTTAATTTTTATCTTACCTGTTAATTTTTTGTAATTGCAAAGATAAGTAAAAATCGTAGATTTTAAGTGTTTTATTTAAAAAGTTTTTTATCGGATTTCCTATTTATGAGAAAATACATCCATATATCTAGTTTACTCTCAATATCTCGACTCGAACTGCCCTAGCCACAAGAGTGATTTTAATGTATTTACATAGTCCGACTGAAATGATTTTAAATTTGAATTCGGAGTATAGAGTTAAATAAACAGTTGTATTTTATAATTATTCTCGTATTACTAAATCGTAGATTTCATACTTAATTTACATTTGGCAACTGAGCGAAGGTTCAGAATTGTGCGATTAGTGTGAACAAAATTGTATAAAATGGTTCAAGATTGTATCAATCTTCTAAAGGTTCAGGATTGCACAGATCCAGTAAAATCTTTAGAAAAATTACATTTTTTTAATGAAATAATCAGAGTATACATTTCACATTACAGATAAAGAGACCCTCTTTTTCCAATATACATTAAATATACTTATCCAACTTTATTATTTTTGGGTGGTTCAGGTTTGATAGAATCTCCAATTGGCTTGGGATTGATAGAAAGATGTAAATATATATGTGTGTGTGTGTGTGTGTGTGTGTGTGTGTGTGTGTGTGTGTGTGTGTGTGTGTGTGTGTGTGTGTGTGTGTGTGTGTGTGTGTGTGTGTGTGTGTGTGTGTGTGTGTGTGTGTGTGTGTGTGTGTGTGTGTGTGTGTGTGTGTGTGTGTGTGTGTGTGTGTGTGTGTGTGTGTGTGTGTGTGTGTGTGTGTGTGTGTGTGTGTGTGTGTGTGTGTGTGTGTGTGTGTGTGTGTGTGTGTGTGTGTGTGTGTGTGTGTGTGTGTGTGTGTGTGTGTGTGTGTGTGTGTGTGTGTGTGTGTGTGTGTGTGTGTGTGTGTGTGTGTGTGTGTGTGTGTGTGTGTGTGTGTGTGTGTGTGTGTGTGTGTGTGTGTGTGTGTGTGTGTGTGTGTGTGTGTGTGTGTGTGTGTGTGTGTGTGTGTGTGTGTGTGTGTGTGTGTGTGTGTGTGTGTGTGTGTGTGTGTGTGTGTGTGTGTGTGTGTGTGTGTGTGTGTGTGTGTGTGTGTGTGTGTGTGTGTGTGTGTGTGTGTGTGTGTGTGTGTGTGTGTGTGTGTGTGTGTGTGTGTGTGTGTGTGTGTGTGTGTGTGTGTGTGTGTGTGTGTGTGTGTGTGTGTGTGTGTGTGTGTGTGTGTGTGTGTGTGTGTGTGTGTGTGTGTGTGTGTGTGTGTGTGTGTGTGTGTGTGTGTGTGTGTGTGTGTGTGTGTGTGTGTGTGTGTGTGTGTGTGTGTGTGTGTGTGTGTGTGTGTGTGTGTGTGTGTGTGTGTGTGTGTGTGTGTGTGTGTGTGTGTGTGTGTGTGTGTGTGTGTGTGTGTGTGTGTGTGTGTGTGTGTGTGTGTGTGTGTGTGTGTGTGTGTGTGTGTGTGTGTGTGTGTGTGTGTGTGTGTGTGTGTGTGTGTGTGTGTGTGTGTGTGTGTGTGTGTGTGTGTGTGTGTGTGTGTGTGTGTGTGTGTGTGTGTGTGTGTGTGTGTGTGTGTGTGTGTGTGTGTGTGTGTGTGTGTGTGTGTGTGTGTGTGTGTGTGTGTGTGTGTGTGTGTGTGTGTGTGTGTGTGTGTGTGTGTGTGTGTGTGTGTGTGTGTGTGTGTGTGTGTGTGTGTGTGTGTGTGTGTGTGTGTGTGTGTGTGTGTGTGTGTGTGTGTGTGTGTGTGTGTGTGTGTGTGTGTGTGTGTGTGTGTGTGTGTGTGTGTGTGTGTGTGTGTGTGTGTGTGTGTGTGTGTGTGTGTGTGTGTGTGTGTGTGTGTGTGTGTGTGTGTGTGTGTGTGTGTGTGTGTGTGTGTGTGTGTGTGTGTGTGTGTGTGTGTGTGTGTGTGTGTGTGTGTGTGTGTGTGTGTGTGTGTGTGTGTGTGTGTGTGTGTGTGTGTGTGTGTGTGTGTGTGTGTGTGTGTGTGTGTGTGTGTGTGTGTGTGTGTGTGTGTGTGTGTGTGTGTGTGTGTGTGTGTGTGTGTGTGTGTGTGTGTGTGTGTGTATGTTTGCTGGTCATATATTGAATGCACATTTTGTCAAATTGACTCTTTATTTACAGAAAAACTCAGCATACAATAAAAAAATTACATCCTTAACTAATTTTTTCACGAATCTTTTCATATGCTTTTTAAATGAATATTTTGTGACTTTATATGAGTATTCAACTAGCAAAGTGTTAATAAGGGCACTTTACTCCTGAGTGCATTTTTGATTTTCCTCGTATAAAGGCATTTATTTTAAATTTTATTTAGTTTAGTATTTGGATTTAGACAAAGCACCTAATTTTATTAAAAATTCATCTTATTAAGAGCAAACAGTAGCGCGTCGTCAAACTGCGTTTGAAACTCAGGTAATACACACCCAGACTTTGTACATGCCAGACTAAGCAACACCGCCTAATATATTTGCTGGTGGGAAAGTTGAGAGATGCATTTGATTTCCTGATTGTTTGCGCTTCGGAAAGGTTAGCAGGTAGATGACGGGTCGATATTTTAAATAATGTATTTATTTTTATATACCACTTTTAACACGTTAAAATACTGCATATACCCGGTTTTTCTTGTGCGTCTAAAAGAAAAACGGCGTATTTTTACCAAAAATCTGAGATCATATAAAATAAATATTTTAATTGGTCAAAAAAATATAATACGGAAATGAATAAGATTTAAATAAAAATCTGCTCATTAATTTGGAAAAATTATATTTAATTAATTTACAAAAATTATATGTTTTGTCAAATATAATTGTTTTGTTGAAGTTAGTCTGTACAAATTAAATAAGAATGTTTTAAAATAAATATGATTAAGTTACTTGCATCAAATAAACAAGATCTATTTTTTACATATTCGAAGTTGATTTTGAGTTTAGCTCCTCTCTGGATATTTCCCTTATGGACAAACCTCTTGGTACTCTTGGATCCACCAACTCGGGAAGTAAACAATTAAAAAAAAAATTTTTAATTTTAGTAACATTTTTTGTTGCCAAAAGTCCTCATCCTTAGTTATCTAAAAATACATTATAAATTATTATTGTCGTCCTTGTAAGAAAAATATAAAAAATGTTTTCGTTTATGAAATCATATTTTGTTATGTACCTTCTCAATCAAACATCCTTGGGAACTCCAGACAATAAAATAGCAAATTTTCCGTTTTGTTATTTGCAGCTGGCCCTGAACTTGAAAATAATAGTTATGATTTCTCTTTAATTTGAGTTTTTCATTCTCTATTGTAGCGAAATTAATTTTTTTTGTTATTATTCCTTCTAGTGGGCTGATATTTTTAATAGAAGCCGGGCATTTAATTTCTATTATTGCATCATCTCCTACCAGTCCATCTGGAGTGGCCCCTAAAAAGTAATTTATCTCATCTATGAATAAACCGCAATTGTTTACTTTCACATTATATGTTTTTTCGAATGCTTCTAAGGCAAAAGGTTCACTAATTTTTCCATAATTAGTTGAATCATTTCCACAAAATTTTGAATATATCAAATTTTGTATGGTTGAGGTACTATTTGTAGAGGGCCTTAATTTACATATTTTGCCAAAATTTGAGGCGGTAAATCTTATTTGACGCTCTTCTAGCCACAAAAGTGAAGATGTTTGATTTCTAGTATTCATCTCAATATTAGCAATTTGTTCTTTTGTTTTCTTTAATTTTATTAAGAATTCACTTTTGGCAGCCACATACTGTTCTTCTGTCATATCTGGTACATAATCTGTTGCACCATAATCTTTGTCCGGAAGAGACACTTCCATTTTCTTTCTCATCTCTTGACGCCGGGATTTTCTTTCAGCTGATAACTTTGTATATCTTTCTTTAATTTGTTTTTTTTTTATATATTGTTCTGTAAATTGTGAAACAGTGGAAATTTTCAAAGCATTGTTCATTACTCTATAATAATTCGGTCCAGAATTATATGATACTACTGCTGCTTCACAGCGTGTCTTGTAGGACATTCTCTTTGAAAAATTTACTCTTTTACCCCCAACAAATTTACATACTAAGGAGTTATAATGTTCTGCCGTATTATTGTCCATGTTGTACAGCAAACTATCAATATTTAAGATTATGCGATTTAAACAGATTTCTACATCTCTGTATAAACCACACTCTTTCATTGGAGGCACTAAGTTATTGACATCTGTCTTGTCACATTTAAAATATTTTATTTCCTGGCATTTAAGATGTTCACCGAAAACGTGAGAGGGTGCATTTATAATGTCCTTTTTTAGATTTTTAATTTTTTCATCAAATGATGTGTTTTCAGCAATACGGTATTTTGCTGCTTTACTAATTGCAAATCTTAATCTTTTGGAATTTTTCTCCAATTCCTTTCGTAAAATAACAGGAACAAACATGTTGCTCGAAGGGCTTCTTCTTTTTTCTGCAATATAAAAACTAATTAAAATACTGTACAAATGAAATGGTAAGTATTATAATAATTATGGTCATCAGTAAACTTTGTCAGTTCAATGGTCGGCAAAATAATTATGCTAGGTAAAATTAATGAATGGACAACATATGGACAATAAAATTAATAAATAATGAAATTATTAAATGGTCGTAAAAATTACCACAAAATAAATAGAGACAGTAATATCAGCACATATCATGAATAAACAAATAGCAAGATAATAAATTGTAAGTAAAATTTACAAAAGTTTAGAAAAATTAACAAACAAGCAGTAAACATAATAATTGCAATATTACTGACCATTTCGTAGTATTTTACATATTTTTCAAGGTATAAATCCTAAAATACGCGATATATTTCGGCCATTTTATAAAATACGCAACTTACTGCATAAGTCTCTAATTTTTGAAGAAAAATTGCGAAGGAGATGATTCCTACATTCAATTTTCTTAATCACGGTTTGCGGTCCATAAGGTCTTATTTCCATTAATTTGTTGTGAACAGAGCTGTCTCCATCTCCGACAAGTGTAGTATATTTTAAACCGTGATTTTTCAAACTATTTTTAAACCCATCACAGATAATATCGGTTTCCATTGAAGTTGAGGAACCCTGCCAGTTCTTAGAACAAAAATGTTCAGGACTTTTTTCATTCTTACTGGCATAGAATTCGCACATGCTACAGTATTTATTCCTGACTCCTATGAACAACACTTTCCCAGTTCTAAATCCCACTATACAGGCCTGAAATAAAATAATCATAAATTTATGGACTTTAGCAAAAGAAAGATATATTAAAAAAAAAGCATCTATATTCTTACAACTCCAGAAGCTGCATTATAATTAACGTTGTAGGATCGCTTAGACCAAGCACCATCGGCCACAACTGTTATGCAAGGAATACCTGCAACATCAACTTCTCCCAATTCCTTAGCTAAATCAGCTTCTTCTTGACCTGCTTCTATCATTTGCTTCCAGGCAGTTTTAAAAATAACGTCAGACACTTTTTCGTGGTAACTAAAATACGTTTTTTCGGTCATTGCTGGCATATTCAAGGCAGCAGATAATTCATCAATTGCTGAAAAACCAATACCAGCAGATATCGTGCCTAAAACTAATGACGAGTTGACATTTGTAACATTTTTTGGATTCTCGGAATGAATTTGCTTTATAATGTTACACATTTTGCATTTAAGCGTAAATGTAGAAAAATATCCTTTACGAACTTCTTGAACAAGTGTCATGTCAGTAATATCGCATTCAAATGGTTTATGTTTTTCACCATTTAGCAATTTTTGAAAAAAATATGAAACGTCAATTAATCTTCTGCCGCTTAGAGAGGTATTTTCCGAATTTTCATGATCCATCTGCCCTCTAAAAATGTATTGCTATAAAAATGTAACAGATAAATTTTTTTCACAAACCTTTCAGTTTCAATTACTTCTTCTAGAAATAGTGGATGACTTTTGGTTGTTTCAAGAGAATTTATGGTATCTAAATTTTCTTTAGTAACACTGCAAAAGATTGGGTTATTATATTTTTATTTGGTTTGAAATTTGATTATACACAGTATTATTTTTATAAATTTTAGTACGCTTAAAAATATCTTTGTCACACACCAATGAGTTCTATTCAGTATTTAAAATAAAAAAAAATTAAAGAATATATACCAGATTTATAAATTGTACTAAAATTTTGCAAATATATTTTACAAGACAGCCTTCTTCTATGTGAAGAACATAACTTATTTTTGTATGTAAAGAGAGGTACTTAAAGTAATTAATTATTTAAATTATAAATAAAAAACAACGGATATTGAGATTTAAATCAAAGTTGCAAATTTATATAATAAATATACAGGGTGTTACTTAATGATAATCCGCAATTTCAAGGGCGCATTTCTACCAAAGTTTAAGTAGAAAAAGAAAAGTCCATATAAATATGTGTCCTAAAAATTCAAAATACAAAATGAATGTTGTATTCCAGTGACGTTCTATTTTTAATTAAAAAGCAACGTTAAAAAGCATAATTGAAATGTTTAAATTTAAACACCCTGAAACTTTTTTTAAGTGCACTTTTGTACATGAGTAAGGAAGGTTCAATCGACCTATTTTTGACTCCAGATATGTGGTGTAATATTTTTTTCAAATGGTATTTTATATTACTTTTGAATTTTACTAAAAAATCTAAGAATTATTGTTTAAAACACCATATGTCTAAATTAATTTTTTTTCAAGCTTTTGCCTTTCGAAAATTGACTTTTTCACATGTCCTCCTTCATCTAGGTTTTTTATATTCTGTTCAGATAGGTGAAGTTTAGAATGAAATGAATCTAAAAAAATCTTACTTCCGGTTAAGCCGGAAATGGGTGATTTTATTACATATTTGTATAAGGTATAAAAAACTAAGATAGGGACATGTAAACCGTTTTACTCTAATTTCAACCGTTTGAGAGCTACCGCTTGTCAAAGTATGAGAAAGTCAATTTTCGAATGTCAAAAACTTAAAAACAATTAAATTTAGACATATGGTGTTTTAAACAAAAATACCTTTATTTTTTAGTAGAATTAAAATATAAAATAAAATACAGGGTGATCCTTTAGAAAAAAAAATGTTACTTTCCTTTGGATGACACCCTGTATATTGCAAAATATTTCTACAATAGGCACTTCTGTGAACCGTTAAACTTTTATATTTGTCATTTTCTCGTATTTTTAAAAATAACCGAGATATTGGACTGCCACACACTAATGGGACACCCTGTATATAGGTAATAGAACATTTTTCATTTTAATTATTACAAAAGATACAAACTGGTTATGTTTGTATTTGCCAGGTAAGAACCAATACATTTTTAGATTACATTTTTTTCCGCGGTTGATTAAATATGTTTATGCCTTCTCTTTGAGTTTTCAAAATGTAAAATCGTATAATATAGGTACCTCATTTCAAACACTTTATTTGTCAAAATTTGGTTTGATGTAAATCTATCGCAATATAATTTTAATTTGAAATAACTAAAGCTGTTATAATTAAAAATGTTCATACTTAGGTATAAATTGTATACTGTCTGAAATCACCATGGGGTAGCATTATAATTATTATTATATAGTACATACTTAACAAGTTATTGAGTACATGCTTATTGTGTTATTGTTCAAGTAAATTATCTCATATTCTACCTGTTTGCTAGGGATTAAAAATTAGGGTCATTAAGATATAATTTATACAGGGTGTTAAAAAAAAAGTGTCACAAAATAAAACGGGGGGTAGTATGGGCCAAAATATGCAGAAAAGTCTTAATAAACATATGTCCGCAAATGAATGGTTTCAGAGATACGGAGTGTTTTGTGTTTTGTATCATTTTTTGATTATCTTTTTTCATTCTCAAAAACTTGCTTTTCTTATCGGAGTCTACCGATGTTTTTTCATAGATACTATTTGCAGTTATTATTTTGTTGTGGGTGAATAATTTTATAAATTTTCGTTATGCCTGTTTACACTAATATTGAATTAGCTGACATGCATTTTATGTACGGTCGTGCAAATGGCAATGCGAGGGAAGCGCTACGTCAGTACCGACAGTCCTTTCGGAGGAGATGTCGTAGCTGCATTGAAATGGAGGGAGGGCACTTTGATTGTTTATAAATATCATTGTTTTTTATAATAATAAAAAATTGTTATAAACACAAAATGGTCCGTATCTCCGAAACCGTTAATTTGCGGTCATATATTTATTAAGACTTTTCTGCTTATTTTGGGTCATACTATTCACCATTTCATTTTGTGACACTTTTTTTTAACACCCTGTATATGTATTTTGTAATACAATAACAACAATTAATTAAGTAGTATGATTCATCAAGCTCTGGCTTCTATAAAATAACAAAATTGATTAAAAAATAGTACCTATATTATTATTTGTAAGTTGTAATATGATTTTGTAAAACTAGCAAATTTTTTTATAATTTGAGTTGGTAAAGTATAGTAGGTATGGTACCAAATCCTATAAAAGTGTGTTTTTTGCATTAATATTAGTTAGTAGTTTTAAGAGAGGTTATAAAAAAAATATATTAAAAATATTGCTGAATTATGCTCATAAACCCAACTTATATGAAAATTTCAATATATAAATTTTCGAATGTAAAAAGCTCAAAAACAATTAAATTTTGACATATGGTGTTTTAGACAAAAATACTTATATTTTTTAGTAGAATAAAAATATAAAATGAAATACAGGATGATCCATCAGAAAAAAATATTTTTTAAGTTACTTTGCTTTTTGGGGACATCCTGATATTGTAAAATATTAATACAATAGGAGCCTCTGTGAACCGTCAAACTTTTGTATTTGTCATTTTCTCGTGTTTTCAAAAACAACCGAGATATTGGACTGCCACACACTAATGGGACACTCTGTATATAGTATGTAATAGAACATGTTTTGTTTTAATTAATACAACATTTGTTTGCTATCAAAAAAGAGAATCAATGTTATGTTTAATTTTTTTTTACAAACCTTTCGAGCTGTCTTGTTTCATGCACTGTATTTTCAACGCTCTGTAAAACGTTTTCATGGACACTTTTTTCGAAACTAGTTAAGCTGAAAACATTAATTAAAGACTCATTAATATTATTATTAAAAATATTCCTTATTAAGTAAATTTACCAGCGTTTTCGTAAGAGGCGTCTACTTTTTCTGAACTGATTTAAGCGCAAATTTTTATTCTTAATGCCAGAACGACCCATTTCCAATTATGTTGTTTACCAATTAATATAAACACAAACTGTTTTTAACTTAAAATAAATATTGTATTTTTACACAGCTCACTATTTGCACGAAACAATTAACACATTTAAATTTGCACTATATTTTGCCAACATAAAACCACCCTGCACTTATGGAAAATTGGAATGCAGCAGAAGTCGAGCTTCTGCCGCTACCATCCAAGTACCAAGCTTGTGCCTTGTTGCCAAACTTGATAAATATAGGCAGGCTACCGGAATTTATGAACGGAGACAATTGAATTTGATAAAAGAAACGACGCTCAAAATATGCATTATTTAAAAAAAATGTACTTGGAAAAATTATTCAGTTTGTTTCATTTCAACCCGCTATTTGCTTGGTTTTTTTATTTAAAAAAAAACAAAAAAATAATAGAAACTACCTTTTTAAAAAAAATTTGAAGCAAATAGCGGGTTTCTGCAAGTCATTATAAACACTTTAAAAAAAAATCGATCTAAATAAAGCAATTTTTAAGGCTACAGTTTCTGTTTTCATTTTTTTGGTGGAGGCGGCCGCTACTGTTTACTCTTAAGAGAACGGTAAAAAATGAGTCTCCCTGTATATATAATTTATATTTCTGTAAATTGTAAATATGCATGATAATATATATTTCTCTAAATTCAATACAATTTTAAGATATGGCAACACGGCGTCGAAATTTTTGCTACTTTTGCTCCATCGGACACCTATAACTTAGTACCTGAACTAAAATTCAATATAGACGCAACAAAATTTTCAATTTTATATGAAATCGTAATTTGTATACAGATTTTAAACAGTACACAACATTGATTATTAAAATTTGGCAAGAATATTCCAAAAAAATATGTAGAATGCTGTAAAGTTTTTTGAACTGCATCTGTGAATATCACTTTTTTATATTTTTTAATAGTATTTAATAATTAGCAGGATAAATGAAAATATCTCATTGTAATCATTAAATATTTTACTATAAGCGGCTAAAGTTTCACTAAAATCCATCCGGTGAAAGATAAGTTCTGTAAATAATCGTAAACCTCTGTTTTGACCACCTAAAATACATTGAAATGGCAGCCTTAAAACAGCCTGATTGAAAGAGTTTTATTAAATTCTGTCCCCTATATGGGTCTTAGGAGGTTATTTAAGTTTTAGTTAAGTTTTATTCATTCTTTAAATAATTGGAGGGTTGATTAATCATTTGCCTTTAACTTGTGTATATTTTAATGTGTATATTTTTATTTATAATAAAGAAATTGAAAAATTTAAATGTTGACTGTAGCCCTTAGGTCTCGAGGTATTTAAGGTCAATACTCAGACCGAGACATCACATGCTTAATTAACTAAATTTTGAAATAAATTATTTTATTATGTCAGTACTCAAAACATAGAACGCAATGAACTTAATTTTAAAATAATTTATTGTAATTGGCACATATTCAGATAAGTAAGTGCTTGGTTAATTGAATTTTGTGATAAGAATTTGGTAACACATAAGTTATTATAGAAGAAATCACTAAAATATTCTGAGTGAGACAATATAAGTAATGTTGAGGTTAGTTTAGGGACATTCATTTAGAAAAGTAGTTAAATGTTTAATTCAACCAATTAGCAGACAAAGTGCACATGTAATCCTCAAAATTATATAAAAAAAACCTGGTAGCAGGGTGTCTTCATCAACAACATCACTATCTCTCTATCCAGATAAAGTAACATCTATGAAAATCCATTGATATAGTAAGTTAGGTTGCTAACAAACCAATGGACCACTAATATATGGACCAGTGTTCTGGTAAATCGATGTACTGTATCATCACTGTTGAACTCAAATCTGAAGTCCTCGGGAAAAAAACCAGGAGAAATCCTATAGGTGAACCCTTCAAGTATAAACAAAATATTTCAGTCCAAAATTTACTCAAGGTCCGCAAACTATACAATAAATAACCTCATATTTAGTAAACCAGAAACTATTAAGTACTCAGTATGAATAAAAACAACACCACCAGTCATAAACAATATTAGGCACATAAATAATTAATATTATAGTACACCAAGAGAAAACAAAAATCGACAAATAATAGGTGCACAATATTACCAAATATATACTTAAAACATTCATTTCTCCTAGAGGGTTCAACTGGTAGCGTTTCAAGGTTAAAAAAAGAACCTGAAAGTCCAACAGCAACCACAATTGAAGAATTCGCTTCAATGTTACAGAACTCAAATGCCGATAAACTTTCCTATGTAAAACAACTAACTAATAACTCAAAATCTATTAAAAGTAGTAATACTTACAATTATATGCCGTTCAAATCCCTAATATAAGGGGTGTAAAAAGGGTCGTCAATACAAGATGGAAAATTTGCCTACAAAAACACTTAAATTTTCCCCAAAATTCAAATACCCGTACTTCTACAATTACAGTAAGGAAAATCTAAAAAAAAAAACGTATATGGGAAGACTCAAAAGTCACATAAAAATAGATTTTCTGCTCATTGATAAAAGAGTACAAAATGCAGCACAACTACAAGTTATATATAGAAAACTGTGTTTAAATTTAATTGTTGTGATTCCCACAGAGTGTTGTATAAAGAATTAAATTTATAATTTAAGTAAATTTGAGTGTTTAAGCGTTTCCAAAATGCAGGTTCATCTCACGAAGAACAAGTTTCAATAAACAATTCATTTGTATATACTATCATTATTACAAATCAGTAGATTATGTGAAAAATCGAATTTCATTTCTCGTGAACATTATTTTGTAACCTGCTCCAAGATATTTAATACCATACTAGAAGACTACAAAAGCAGCTGATAAAGTGTGTCATACCTCAGGTAAATTCATCAAAAAGAGGTACTTAGAACCTACAGAAAACCTTATTTATTTCCAGTAACAGTTTAGCAAACGGCCCTGTATTAGCCAGTGTATCTAAACGCAAAATGAACATTCCAACAAGCATCACCGACAGAAATGCATCAGCGACTAGACAGGAATCCAGAATTCAATATCAATGATGCGAACTAAACTGGACGAAATTATATAGCGGACACATTCGATGTTATAATGTTCGCTGGATTCGCTAAATTCGCTACGCTTTTGTTTTCACAAGTGTGACAGTTTCATTGACGATGCTTAATTGTATTCACTACCGCTCACTTTGACTCTTCTCTCTAATTTTAGATTTGTAATAAATTCACAAATAGCGAATTTACGAAATTCAATATTTGGTTACTGGTCTTCTCATGTATGTTATATATAAATAAAATAAAATTGTAACTAACTTTAATATAAAAATTGATACTACTGATTTGTTATTTACATTTTATAAAATGTCTTTTTGATCATTTTATTTAACGTTTTTTAAATTGGGTATATACTCCCTCATCTGGAGCCGTATTCTGCAACTATAGGGAAAAGAGTGTGGGTACTCTCTCACGATTTGACCTTGCTGCGCATGTCACTCGACTTAAATTTTAAGGAATCATGTCGAGAGCAGTGTTGCAAGTTGCTCGATAATTATCATATTTGTACGATGTAGTGAAAAACGTTGAAGATTCCCAATTTTACGGAAGTTTTATTTTGAATGTCTGTTGCATACACATGTTTTTGTAATACATTATTAAACAAGTACAATTAAAAATATTTTTAATTACAGGGTGATTTACAAATGTATGACGGTAGTTTTTTTTTGCAAAATCTCACTAATTCTACTGTGACGTCAGGGAAGCATATTTTCAACGAGTACTACTCAATATGGTATTTTCTCCACCAAATATTGCACAATACATATTTCTCATACAGTGTGTTTTACAGTGAGAATCACAAAAAAAATTATTTTTTAGGGATTACTTCAAAACCCTGTACTTATGAATTGATTATCGGGATAAGTAATATCATTAAAATATGCGTACCTCTAAGCTTCAAAATATATAAGGCGGCTTATTTATTGGAAGATATTCTATTTTACTAAAAGTAGAAAAACTACGAACAACCTAAAATTTCCCTTGTCAAATGTAACCATTTTCTTGGAGTATAATAAATTTAACACCGTTTTAAGAATTATAAATTTTAAATCCGATGCTATGGCCACTTTTCGAGATACAGGGCGTTAAATTGAGAATTATTGATTTTAGTTTAATTTTTAGTTTCCTATCTATATACAGATTAGGAAAGTATAGGAATCATGATTTTTACTTTCCTATCTGTATACAGATAAGAAAAGTATGGGAATCATAATTTTTTTCGACCTTCAGTTTTCGACGGATTTTTAAGTTTTGGGGTCCCCTGAATCCGTTTTTCTATTTTCGGGTTGATGTCTGTGTGTGAGTCTCTGCGTGTGTCTGTGTGTGTGTCTGTGTGTTTCGTCAGATACGCTAATACTAATAATACCGCTAATACTGGTAATACAGTGTTATATAAACCTATTTTGTAATCGGGCCCGACCTTAACTTTGCGTCGCTTACACCACCGCTACTAGAACCTTCCGACATCCTCCGGATTAACACGCAATTACAGATAATCACATTTGGGATACGTTTACTATTATATTCTTAATAAAAGAGAGAGTGCAGTTAAAGTGAGGATATAACGTCACATTCCATAGGTACACTTTAAAAAATAATTTTTTATAATATAAATAAGGTCACGGCATATAAAATGATATACACGCATTTCGTAGATTAAATTTGGAATGAAAAAAACTTATATTATTTACAAAAATAAAAATAAACTTTATATTTCTGTATAAATTGTTGCACTTTAACATTGAACGAATTAAATTTAACCAATAAATAATAAGGAGGATTATATGTTGTTAATGAGAATAAACTTTAATTAACTTCCTAAAAGTAACACTTCAGTACCTAAAATCAAAGATTTAAAAAAAAGTCCAATAACTATATTTAGCATGTTTTAAGCCCCAGGGTATAAAAGCATGATTTTCATCTCGGACCAGAGCATTTTTTTTCAATTTTGGTATTAAAACTA